TCAGCCTTTGTCTAAGAGTAAAAGCATGCATTCAGGAATGAAAGACACTCCTGGGCATCAGCACAGTACATGAACAGCTAAGGCTGATGACAGATGCATGATATGGACAAGCCAGGCTGAGAAAAAGCCATCAGACTTTATCAAACGTCTACTATGTTCTGAGTAACTTACGCCCATTGTTTGAAATCCTCACTAAAATCTGTAAGGTGCAGGGATAATGAGACAGAAAAGGTTTGGCTGTGAAATTATTAAAACAAATGCCCTCTGGATTGGAATCTTGTCTCTGCCCATTTCCTGCTTAGAGGCCCAAGTTAATGCTAACTCTGAGCATCGGTTTTCTTATTTGAGAAAAATGGGCATTTTAAAGCCCACCTTTGAATACTTTGAGTATTCTGTTGACACATTACAATCTCCTGATGAAGCACAGCTAAAAGGAAAATGGAGTATCAATTAAAATGGAAATAATTGGTATTATCATCCTTGGGACTACACAAGTGTGGAGGAATTTAAGATTCTTGGTGTCATGGAGCCAATACACAGAGGAGCCACTCGGCCCATCCTGCAAACTTCTCACCATGCCATGGCTGGGAAGGGCTCCCAGCAGGGTTTGGATGCAGGAAGATGGGACAAGAGTGCCCACAGAGCGCAGGATGCAGCAAGAATACCATTCAGGGGGACAGACAGCTCATGGTCGAGCCTGGAGGAGCTTAACTGGGCTCAGTACTGGGACTTAGTGTCAGGGGGGACTTAAGCCTATTTTAAGAGTAGAGACTTGATCACTCCTAAGTCCTGTCACAAACCTGAGCAAGAGTTAACCAACCTCTGGGTGATGATGGGGCTCTTTATGTTTCAAACCCTAATTCTTTAGACTGATAGGAGCATTCCTTCATTCAGGCAAAGACTCCACTCTTCACATCCTTGCCCAAATTCATCTTAATCCACTGAGTCTGCTTGAGGAGTGCTGGTCACACTCCCATATATTACCTGAGCTGTGAAAGAAAACCCAGCCCAAGTGTTCCCTGTGGTTGGAATACGGCACCAGAAGTTCTCAAGTTCACCCTTCTCACCGGCCTCTAAACCAACACAGCTGTTCACCGTCCGCTCCGCTCCTCTTCCCCATTTGGCTGAGTGCCCAAGTTGCACGTCAACAAAGTATGAGCCGCCACACCTGGCCTCCAGGGCTTGACCCAGTCATGTCAAGGACTTTCACCAAATTTTCTTTGCAAGAAAACTGAACGGTGTCCATGTGCATATGGTAGAAGATGTGTGTCAACGTGCATTATTTGCACGAATATGGTGAAAATGTTGGTGATTAAGAGACATGTGGGACTAGGTATAGAAATAGAAAAAATTATTTATAAAAAAGCAAGCCTTCAATTCTATGTTTTTATGAACTCTGCTTTTTTTTTAAAAAAAAAGTATATTCGTCCCTTCAAATTATTTATTTTAGCAAATATTTACTCTAAATAAAAGTAAGGCAGAAAATCTGTTAACAGGAAGGAGAGAATATAAAGCTTTGGTCTAGTGTGTTTAACATCAACGGAATAGTTAGTCCCGATAAACACATAGGCTATTATTTCCCACACATTCCTAAAACTGTGTGTGTGTGCTGTGTATACATTTATACATATATATTTATCAATTTGAAAGACATTGTGTAGCTGATTAAAACTGACACCTTGAAAATCTTTGCGAAGTTTGCAGGCCTTTCACCCAGAGAACAAACCCGGCATCACTGGGAAAGGGAGACTTCAGCTGAAACCTGCCAAGTGTTGTAATTTACTCAGGGCCTTTCCTCCTTCCCTCGGCTGCCAGGGTCCTGGTGGCTTCATTATGACTCTCTCCAGCACTTTCAGCTGGTTTGTGGCACACCCCCCCCCAAAGAAATCGGAACAGTAATTTTCAAAAGGAACTTTTATTTTTAATATGGATTGATTTTTTTAAAGGCAGCTCTAAGCAGCCCCGTATATCAAACAGGGCCCATCACACCAATCCCAACACATCAAGGGGCAGTTTTAACACGTGACGCTTGTTGTTTCTAGCAGGTATCCGTGTGGTGAGAGGTCACCACTCAGCGAGGTGCTTTCTTTCTGGTGTATAAGAAAAGAAATCACCAGGAATACAGGGGGAAATGGGCTTGGGAAACAGGAGGGGACCTTGTCAATCTCCAAGATGCTAGAAAATGATCGTGGAAGTCTTTTGTTAGTGAATCCTATAATGGTGTTGCCGCTCATCGCTTGTGGACAGGGACAGCCACTAGCCTGCCACAGGAAGGGGGACAGAGGATTAGACAGAGTGTGAAAAGGCCCAGGGAAGGGACACCACTGCTGCTTGGCATCACAAAGGCCAAAATCGTATCATTATGGACAGGATTTCTTGGGGGGAGGGGTTAAAAATCAAAGGCACAGGTGAAGTGTTTGGCAGGGATGTATTCCTGTAAATGATCTCACAAATAGGAAAAGAGACCCCTGTAGCACTTCCCTGAGATGTGCTTAGGTCCACACAATTCTACTCCCAAGAGAAGGACGGACAGCTTCCTACTCAGTCTTCTTAGCCATCTGGGGGCCTGAGAACGGGAGCATCGTGCTAGAGATGGTTTCAATCCAGAGGATGACGCCATAAAACGCAACAACAGGGAGACTGCTCAGACAACAAGGCCCTTGGCTTGATCCACTGCGTGGAGCTCCAGAACAGTCCTCTGTCTTGGATTTCAGAGAAATACCTGGTAAAGACCTCATGTCACAGACTGGCTTGAGTCAGTCCCAGCATAGAGCTTCACCAGTCTTCCTGCAGCTAACAGATACTGTGGTGACAAGGAGAATCCATTGTCAATACTTCCAGAGGGGCCAGGAGACAAGAGTCCTGTTTGGTAAAGGTCAGTTTGTTCTAAGTAAGATTAAATGACATTTCTCTAGCACGGTTATTTGGAAGTAGTTTAAAATCCTGGACTTGCCAATGGATTGGATGGTTTTTCCTTCTGATGGTGAGTGCAGAGGCGTGATTTGTGTTACTATCCAGTAATAACTCTGAGTGATGATCTACTACACTAGACCTTCACCTGGCCTGGCTAGAACCAGGAGAAGGGCATGAGGAGAGCAGAAAGCAGTCAGGTGGTGGAGGTCAACACTGAGTCCATGATGACCTGGAATATACTCGTGTGGAAACTGAATGTTTATTGAAGGAACAGAGCATCATTTTTAACCTGGCCAGCCAGTGATACACACAGGATTATGTCCTACTTTTTTTTTTTTTTTGGTTGAACTTCATTTATACTTGACTGACCTGGTTCTGGCCAGATCCTAGGCCAGGTCCCCAGATTTACCTGATTCTGGCTACTAATGCCCCACTGTGTCAAAGTGTCCTGGATCTCTTTGCCCAAGAAGGTCCAGAACAAAGCTGTGCCTAGCAATGAGTAAACAGTTTAGAAAGCTATTTCTCTGGCTCTGTGGGAGAGAACAAGGCTGTGAGAAAGATGGACAGTGGGCTTGGACCAGCAGGCCACCACAAGACGAGTCCACACCAGATCACCAACCTCAGCCTAAGACTTATGCCATGACTCTACCCAGTTGTGCCAGAACCTTTCTTCCAGGTACTTGTTTCGTGTGTAGGATGAGAAGTCACCACGTGGACTCCTGAGCCTTTGTTATTATAGCTCTGTGGCCCAAACAACTAGGTTTCCCATAGGTATAATTCACAAAGAAAAGAGGAATCCCCTCTCCCAATACAAGCAGAACTGCATTTAAACAGTTAATCACAAATATTAAATTTATAGAGATTCCTATTAAAAAGGACACACAGCATACTGCAAGAGTTGGAGGGGTAAAATATCATGAATTTTAAGGGGTTGTGAAATGTCTTCTCTCTAAACTGAGTTCTAACATTATGGTCCAAGGTGGCTAAAGGGCTGTACTGTGGATGCAGAGGAGCCACATTTGGGCCCCCTACTCACAGCCACGAGAGTCTGCGCTTAGTGTGCACTTCTCTTGGCCCTGTTGGTAATGCTGCAGTCCACTATGAGGGCCTTTTATGCCTAAGTACTTCCTGCAGTCCACCTTAAATGTCTTCACTCTATGTGAACACATTCTGTGGATTTATCAGTACATTCACAGTCTATGTGGCTAGGCCCCAGATGTTAGCTCAGACCCAGATCTAGCATCCTACGCATCTTTAGAAAACACCGCTGATGCCCTCACAGTCCCTTATTTTTACTATGTGTTCTCTTATTATTATAGTGATCAAGAAAAAGATCAAGAAAAAAACATATTAAATAAAGTTGGGGCTGGGACAATGGCTTATCAGTAAAGAATGCTTACTGCTCTTGAAGAGGTCCTAAGCAACTTTCCCAGCACCTGTCAGGAGGCTCAAAACCTCTGTAACTCCAGATCCAGGGTATCTGATGACCTCTTTTGGACTATATAGGCAATTTCACTCATGTGCACACCCCACAACACAGAGATACACAAAATGAAATGTAAAATAAAGTCTTGAAGATTTTTCAAGTAAAAACATGCACCCTTTGATATTCAAACAATTATAATTGTCAAATAAAAAGGGAGATTTTCTATTTTTTCACCTAGATTATTATTCACTGATAAAAATTTCGTATTCTTTGTCTTCCTCAGGGAAAAGTCCTCCACTACTACCAATTGTGCAGCCAAGTTTCTAGAACTGGGGAAAATGTCAACACATCCCAATAGCAAAGCCTGAGCCTTGCCCTAGGAGAACTGCCTTCTGGATTGTGTGACATTCCTGCAAGGTGAGGTGGATTTTGTTGTTTGTTTGAGATGGTCTCAGTATGTAGTGCACAGGCTGGCCTCAGAATTACAATCCTCTTACACCAGCCTCCTGAGGATTGAGATTACCAGCATGCAACACTGTGCCCAGTTCAAAATTTTCATATTGTCGCTTTTTAATGTTTTAAAATATAAATGTATTGCTTATGGTTTTGCTCCCTTCGATCCTGAAAGAGAAGCAACTGTATCAAGATGCCGCGTGTACTAGGCAGGGGTTAGGGGCTTCTGGATGTCATAGCACACCTACCTCATGGTCACACAGGGCTCCGTGAATGAACAGTCAAACGTGTGCTTCTGTGTGGTTCCAAGGATGGAGAGGAAAAGAGTCAGGGCACGGGAAGCAGGGGTGTTCTAATTCAGACTGAACTGGGAGAGGACTTCTTTCCTGTGATTTCTTGACAAAACTGCATTTCTAAAGAAAGAGTGTGCATTTTCCAGAACAAAGTTTTCCGCAAAACAAACATAACCTCGTTTCTTCACGCTGCTTCACCTTTCTCCTCTACGTGCCATTGCCGCTCACACTGCTCACACCACATAGGTACTTAGGGTGTGAAATAAGCCCGAATGGGAAAGCATCTCCAACATTCCACACACTATTTAGAACAACTCTTATAGAATTTCCTTTTAAGGGTAGTTTTCCTTAAAGATAATAATAATAGCCCTCCATGGAGAAACATCCCGACAGCCAGGAACTTAAAACTCACTTCTTACCACAGGTTTTGACTGCACTAAAAGATGCCCACTTTCTCAAGATGTAACAAGACTTAGGACTTTTCTTATGAGCCAACAAATATGCCCCTGTTGATTCCTGTACCAGTATTACAGAACCTGCCTTTAATTTAGCCCCACAGTAATCAAGGCTTCTCACACGGCCAAATCCCTCCAGCAATGTGCTCAGAGGTACTGCGTGTGGAAGCCTGTTGCTTTTCAGCATCCTGTTAAACACCTGTCCTGGGCTTGGGCCATGCCTCTGGTTTCTCACTCAGGTGGGAGAGTTTTGCTTAAGGGGACAGGCGGGTATTTTTGCTGTCACCAAAGACAGCTAATTTGGGAAGCCTAATCTCGCAAAGGGGCCAAATTTCAGTTCTCAGAGTGTTGGGTTTAGGGTAGAAAGGACTGCCCAGAAATGCAACCTGAACACTTCCCCCTCTACCCTTCTCTTGTCTGTGCTGAGGATCTCCAAAAGAATTGATACGTTTTTTTTTTTTCTTTTTAGATTTCAGGCCACTGGGTATAAGGTGCATGGCTCCCATTCCTGCCTGTCACCTGACTAACCTAATACTTTCCTCCTCAGATGGATACAGTGCTCATGACAAGCGGCTGAGGGGCTGCCTCGCGCTTCACTCCAGGTAATTCAAACACAATAAGAAGTGGGGAAATTAGTTATGGGGATTGGAGGAAGGGGGGGGGGGCTTACAGGTGTGCATTCTTAGTCATTTAGGGTCCAAATCAAAAGAATCACATGCTCTGTAAGTACTATCTCCCACCTCCCCGGGTCCCAGCATTTTATCATGAGAAAAGATGTGATTCTATGGCCCATCCTTCAGGAATGACTTTACTTTCAGTCTCTGTGTGGGTCTGTATTGTAGGTTATGCCCCTGTGAGCCCCTCCTACCCTTCTTTGCTCTCATTCCCCCTTCTCGTTTGTCCTCCATGTTCTCCAAGACAACTCTACTTCAGTTCTCATTCTCTGTAGACACACATGATTATATGTGACTGGCAAAACCCTGGGACCACAGAACAGAAAGTAGATATTTATTTTCCTGAGACGGCTTAATTCACTGAATATGATTATCTCCTGAAAAAAAAAAAAGATGTAACTTCGTTCTTCTTCATTGCTGAAAAAATTGCACACGACTATAGCTCATATTAACCTCTGTTATTGGAGAACTAGGTGGTTTCCACAACTCAGTACTACGGAAGGAACTTTCTCACACTCTCCCTTCAACAGTACCACATCAGGAGAAGAGCCAAGCGGCCTCCGTAGTTTTGCAGCTAACAGAAGCCGATACCACCCATGATTTCATGGGACACTAGCTGCGTGTCACCCGACCCCGGCCAGAAGCAAGAAAGGCTGCCTGGCTCTCACAGCTCAGCCCCTTCGCCTCGTGGAGTTCTGCGCACAGCGCGGGAGTTTGGAGAATTTTGTCATTAAGGTTTTTAACAAAGAGGAGGTCATGTCTCAAGCACTTGCTCACCTGATCACAACCCCTGTTTCACAAAATTAACAGGGAAACTGGGGGTCAAAAGGTCACACATGGGTTTTTACAATCTCAAAGAAATTGGGCTAGAGGATTAGCATTTGAGAACAATCAACCGTTAACAGTGTAGCTGGACTCCAGGAGTTGAATTACCCAGGCAGCATTTACTGCACACCTATTATGTTCAGGAATTCTGGATCATCCATGAACAAAACAGAGAAAGCTGCATTTTGTGTTTTTCAGGAAAAATGGCCATGCATTTGGGTTGTTGTGTCTCCAGCGCATGCTCCCTCCACTTAACTTCAGGCTTCTGAAAACTAACACCAACTCACCTGGAATAGAGAGAAAGCATCACAGCGCACAGGTGGAGGCCTGAGCACGTTTACACAATTCAAAACAAAACTACAGTTAGCAATCTTCTTCAGAGCTTTCAGAAAAGCCACTGGTCCAGCCAGCCTTCAGCCTTTAAGGAAGAGATACCCAGTAAGAAAGGACAGAGAGCGGAAACTGGTCACGGGCAGGAAGCTGAAGAGGAAGGACTCACAGTTTGGAAAGAGGAGAATATTGTCTGTGAGTGAGGCCAGAGTTCGAGAACAACAGTGTCTGTATTGACACAAACTTTATCCTTACAGAAAAATTAGTAGGAACTTGGAACAGTGTAGTAACACATTATTGGATGGCAGATATGGGATGACTTTTATATGAAAACATTTCAATATAACATGTTAAAAAAAAATATAGTTTCTGAAAGAATGTCCCTGAGTGAAACCACAGGATAAGAGCTGAACACAACGAGCCAAAAGGTTTCATTACATCTATGAGTCTTTCTTGAAGAAACAGAGGCAGGGGGATTGTAAGATTGAGAACAGCCTGAACAGCATTTCAAAAATTAAAACAAATGACTAATCTTTTTGCAAGAGGTTAACACATCCTTGCCATCTTCTCTGGCAGCAAGTATCTGTCTCTTGATTACCTATCTCCACCATTTAACTTGAAAAGATTTAGTGTGCAATTCAGCTGTTTAAGACATATAATACATGTATTTTAAGATCATTTTTAAAAGGACACTTTTATAAAAATGATACAATTTATTTAGGGTGATGTCACCAGCCAGCTCTCTGGGGTTCACTTTATAAATGGTATTTTGTGGACTGCAACCCAGGGTCTGGGACTAATCCTGGGATAGGATTGAGCAAGCAGAGAACTGAGACAGAAGTGATTACCAACTGGGAGACCTGTTCAGATGGGAACATACCTCTCCCCCACAAGGATCCATGTCTTCCCCCAGTCTCTATGCAGACCGCACTTGGTGCTTCTGTGTAGACAGAGCTGTAGAAGGCCAGCTTTGTGATGAGGTTTCCCTCACTATAGCTGCCCAGTGCTAAAAGTTAGCAAGATCAGCATATGTCAAGTTTTCTGCCAGGAGCAGTGCTGAGGGATTCAAAGTTTCACTGGCTTGTTACACTGTCTTTCTTCTCCAACGCTATAAATGTCTATGTGACAAAGCACAAGAGAAGACATTCCTGATGCAGATTTCACCTGTAACAAGAATGTTAAACCAGAACCTGACCTGGACGCGCATTCATTCTAAGAATACAAGTCAGGTCATCCTTTCCTCCTGTGTTTCCAATAAGTATTACAAGGAGGTTCTTTGCATTTGTAGAAATACTCAAATCTGTACTATACAGAATCTTTGGGAAGGCCTTAGCTCCACAGATCTGGAATTCCAAATTATTTCATAAGACAAGCAAGCCATGGAGTGTTAATGAAGAAAGAATTTTCAAGTTTAATTTTGTAATCACCACCACCCATCTGACTCCACGTCTTTCCAACTTCTCAAATAGCGAGCTGGGCAATGTGTTGGAGCTATACCTATATTTTCTACATACAGGTTCACTCCCTAGGTGAGTTCTCAAGAGAGTGATGTGAATGCAATGCCTATCCAAATGCTAATTTTTATGTTAAGTTCAACTAGGGACACTTAAAAATAAAATTGTTGGGCACAAACCCTCTAATGTTTGTGATGAAAAAAGCTTGCTGTTCCCAAGTGTTGTTCAGATACTCGTACAGAAAGATCTGGAAAGCATATTAACTATGCTCCCCTTCTTGCCCACATATTTAATTAAACCTTAATTTACAGTGGGGGTACTTCCTGTCTCAGGAGCAGGCTCTTTGGCATAGCGTCCTTACGAGCAGGGCTGTCTTGCAGGCTCACAAGGGACGTCAGCTTTACTTTTGAGGTTTGGAAAGGAGTCGTCTCTCGCCCACAGCAGAAATCAAGGCCACAGTGAGTAGCTATTGGCATCACCACAGGGTCCAACCCTTAAAAATCCTAAGGAAAGAGCTGATTGCTTGGGCTCACAAGGAGTCTCCATTCCATCTAATGGAGACCCACTACCTGGGGACAGGGAGAGGAGGAAGAGAAAGGGCCCCTCACGGGAATCCAACCAGAACACCCAGAATTCTTAGCTCCTTCTCAGCCCTTGTCTTCCCACTGTGTGTGTTTCTTGCATTTGTTATATGCAGGATTTCCCACTTCTTAGGGCAAAACGGAAAAAACATACCAAAGACTGACTGGATGCTTTAGCACTTCAGACTTTTACAAAACAACTATTTTATGGTTACGTGTAAATTAAATAATGGCACATGTGGGTTGAATTTTCCTTAAAACACACAGGGATTTTACAATTAAGTGGAAAATTCTCCTGTAAAATGCATTTTGAATTTGGGCAGTTGCCATGATCCAAATACTTGAAACACAGCAAAGATCTTTTAAAAAAAAAAGTAGCTTTAAATTTTCCAGAAACTCAAAACAGCACTTGAATCTGGCCTTGTGCTACCACTCTTCAGCCCGTGGAATGGAAGCCGCATGCAAAAGAGCCTCAGAGCAATTTGTTATTCGCGCAACTTAACTGCTTGAGCATCCACTTCACAAGTCTTTCTCACCACTGCCATGAGCAGGTGCTGCGCTAGACCTTTTCCCTCTGATCGGTGAGCTAACACTGCCTCCTAACCACACTTTGACACTGAAATTAGTCAGTCAAAGGGAGAGTCCTAAAGATATGGATAACTAGCAAGTCCAGAGTGGTATGGGCTGTGTTATTGCAGGAAGCTTTGGGAAATTCAGTAATAGTGTACTATTTCTTCAAAGAGGGTGTCAGGTTGGAGGTGATGGCTAGCAAGCATTTTCTTGCCGTGTGTGTGTGTGTGTGTGTGTGTGTGTGTGTGTGTGTGTGTGATGCATATACATGTATGTGTACACCTGTGTGCACGGTTATATAGGCTGGTGTGTGTGTGATGCACATGCGTGCAGGCGTAACACCTGTGTGCATGGTTATATAGGCTGATGTGTGTGTGTGTGATGCACATGCATGCAGGTGTACACATGTGTGCATGGTTATATAGTCTGGTGTGAGTGTGTGTGTGTGTGTGTGTGTGTGTGTGTGTGTGTGTGTGTGTGTGTATGGAAGCCAAAGGACAACATTGGGTGTGTTCCTTAGGACCCATCTGCCTGGTTGTTTTGGAACAGGGTCTCCGACTGGCCTGAAGCTCACCAAGTAGGCTAAGCTGCCTGGTCACTGACCTCTTTGATCATGTCTCTGCACCTCTTACATTACAAATACAACACCTGTCTGGCCTTTTTATTAATTCTAGACCATAGTTGCCCATATGAGTTCTACACATGACAACCATGGAGGTAAACCTCTCAGAACCCCATTTAGGGAACTGCTTGATACTCAGCTGCAAGGATTGTGGTGAGCTCCAGGTTTCTCCAAGATCAGCCCCAGAGTTGGGATCCAAGTGACTCCTTATGCTGGGCTCTGCTGGCCACTGACCAAGCAAGAGGATGATACTAGATTGAGGCCAGAGCTAGTGTGGGCTCCGTCTCTCTCCTCCAGAGTGTCTGTGAAGTTGGGCAGTATTTGTTAGTCCGCAGCACAAGGGGCTCCCAGCATATGTCCCTCTCACTGTCCCTTCCGAGGTCCAGCTGCCTACAGAACCCAACCTGAAGCCCTGCTGATGGCCAGGGTACTGGCACACCTGGCTGAAATGCCAATAAAACTCCACTGGATGTCACTGTGTGAAGTACTACTTTTTGTGTGTTGAAAGTGAGCAATAAAAAAAAAAAAAGCAGATATCTTTCAGGTTTCTATAGCATAGCCATTTCAGAACAGGCATTCCAAGAATTCAACTAAAGGAAACTGACAATGATCACACATCTCATGGGCTTCTTAGTAGGGAAAAATAATGCCCCCTCACACACCACACTGTTTACCTGTGAAGCATTGTTTAAAACAGAGAGGGAAGGAGGGAGGTAAAGGAAAGGACTGGGAAGAAAGGAGGGAAGGAGAGAAAGGAGAAGGGAGAGAGAAAAGGAAGGGAGGGCGGGAAGGAAGGAGAGAGGGAGGAAGGCCATAGCCCACGGATGGCAGGGAACACAAGTAACTTGCCCTTCTCTTCAGAATTCAACAGCAGTTCAACTCTATTACCATCTTTCGATGATCATAATGCCTCAAAAAATCTGTACTCTTATTATAAAATGTATCAAAAGTTAGCCCTTTGGATTAGCCTCCCATGCATGTAAGGCATTAGATTCTAACACTAAACATACAATCAGCCTTTCAAATTGTTTTTTCATCCTGCCTTGAGTTTGCGAGGCATAACTTGATCCCATTTGAGGGTTCATTCTCCTGTCTGTGAAAGGGTCCTTCGGCAACATGGCGTGTAGTGCTCACTCACAAGTGTGCAAATAGGGTTCTCGTCTCAGTGCTCTTCGTGTTCTCTGCTATGGGTGACTCTTCTTCAGGTCAGCATCGTGGCCTTGAAGAGGAGACACACTGACAACCCATAAACTACCAGTGCTTATGAGAGTCTTGATCAAATATCCTGGAGCGAAGGAAGTACAGACAGCCAAAGAACAAAGACACAGACTGTATTAATAATGTCGGTCATGGGATCCAGGCCAAGTCAACCTCCATGTCCATGAGACTCCCAATAGGATGTCAATCATTTTGAAAGGGACTGCGCCTACAGGACATGGGCACATCCCTTGTGTGGCATTGATAGGGACTGACTGGGGATCTATGCTGTGGAAGAATGTTTGGCAGGGCCTCAAAAAGTTAAACACAGAATTACCACATGGTCTTAATCCCACGGCTAGGTATGTACTCATGAGAGTTAGAAAGATTTACTGGAATGAGTATAGGTATGCACATGCGCACAGAAGCATTATTAATGATAGCCAAGAGATGGGGTTAGCCAAATGCCCATCAACAGATGTGTGGATCATCAAATTAGGATGATCTGTAGAATGTGTACTATCCAGCATGAAAAACGAAAAAAGAGATATAAAACACTATATAACACTACATGATAAAATGCAGTGAATTTCAGGAACACTGTAAAGTAGCAGTTCTCAGACTTGCGACCCTTCCATACAGTTCCTCATGCTGTGGTGACCCCCACCACAAAATTATTTCGTTGCTACTTCATAACTGCAATTTTGCTTACGTGATCTCTGTGAAAGGGTCATTTGACCCCAAGGGGATCGCACTCCACAGGTTGAGAACCACTGCTTTGAAGCAAACGATAAGAGATATAAAACACTATACACATGACTCCAGTCATAAAGACATCCCAAATAGGTAAGTATATAGTGACGGAATGCATATGGTGGTGGGTCTGGGGTGAGAAGAAGAGCACAGAGCTCTAATGAGCCCAGGTTCCTGGTGTTCTGATGATTTCATTGTGCAGCAGGGTCAAAAAAAAGACACATGCTTGTATCTTTATGAAGATGTCCATGCTAAATATCCAAAATATAATATTTCAGATAAATACTGTATTTTTGTTCAAAATATGATTTGAATTTTGAGAGTTGCTTCTTGGGCATATTGATCAAAACATTTAATATAGCACCTGGTGCTTTGGAGAGAGACTTAGAAAGGAAGAAAACCAAGTTTGATTGAAGCATCACAGGGCCTTTATCAGACACTTCAGCGGCACCTCTAATTGCTCTAGGACGTAGGTACAGCTCTACATAGAACCAGGATAGAGAGCTGGAGGAAATCCCTGATATTATGGGGAGCCACCATCTGTGAAAGGCTAAAGTGTAGATCAGTCAATCATGTTCAGGCATACCTGTGAATTAGAATCCCTAGGACCAGGACCCAAAGAAATGGTCGGGTCCTGTCAAACTGAAGAGTCAGACAAGACCATGCACACGAGGGGGGTCCAGAAGCCCTGGGAAAGACGGTCTCTATACGGTGGGACAATTCCTACCTCTAAGGTGTTGTGCAGATTCCATGAGCTCTTGTCTGTAAAGCCCTGACATGGTGGGTGCCCCATGTAAGCACTTGAGAAATGGTACCTTTTATTTTTTATTTTTACTGATACCATCACTCTCTGTCCCAGGCAGGATAGACTCCAACTCACTGCCTGTCCCCTTCCATCCTGGGTAGTCAGCGTCCCCAGAGCTGACTCCTAACCACCCGTTTATTTTCCCCAGCACAGCCTAATACTATTGTTCTCTACTATTGTCCCATCCAAATCCTAGCTTCTGAGAGACTTAAGAACATTTTTAACTAGCAGAATTTACTGGCACAAGTTGATCATAAACTCGGCAGACATAGGAACCAAAGAGATGCATCTTTTTAGGGATAAACAGTCTAATTGTAGTCTTGTTTCATTCCCTCCCTTGAACACACTTTTTTTTTTTTTGATAATGCAAATAGATGAATTTTACTGTAAGACTGAAATTTTATTTTCTTATTAAAGTTGTTTTTTGAGATGTTCTAAAGGACACATTCCAAGAAGCAGGAATGTAATTATAGACTTAGCCTCTCTGGATGACCTGACAGAAGTCTGCCGTCACTTAGAGAGCCATTGCAGTATATATTTAATGTCAGCTTGACTGAGAAAAACACTTTCCCAGGTTCTCTTTGATTGACACTTTTGAAATGACATCAGTTGCCAGCTTTAAAACCTACTGTTATTAGGTCTCTGTTGCTATTTATGTTAGAAATATGTGCACGTGTGTCAAAACAATGTATCAACTTTGCTGATTGGCTGCATCTAGATTCTGTTGCCGGGGTAACAGAACAATTGCTTTTAATCTTTCCTAAATTGCTTCTTGGTTTTTTTTTTTAATACTTGATGTTTTGGGGATTTTTTTTTCACCCTGGAGCAAAAATAAAGAAATGTTATCTAGGGAAAAAACAAATACATATTGTCTATATGTATTTGAAAGAAAATTAAACACAAAAGCTGTAGTTGCTGTGTATTTCGCCTGCATAGCAATCCATCACAGTGCTGAGATGGCCTTATCCTCCTCAGGCTGGATCATCAGGAAAAGACCACCTTCATCCCACATGGTACAGCACACAGATGTTTGCCCTTCAGGTCTAAGGTTTTCTTTCCTTTGTTCAAAGACCAGTTTCATTCATTCTTCCCTGAGAGGCTGGAATGGCTGTGGAGGAAAACAACATCTTCAAAACATCCTTTGTCTTCATTTCCACCTTGCTGACATCACGGAGGGTCACTGGTTATGAATCCCAGTGCTAGCCCTTGCATTTTGAAAAGTTCCACAAAATTGATCCCCACGCTGACATTTGGATGTAATAATGTGTCTATAAGTTAACCAGACTTCCTGCATAATCTTCCCGCTCTATCGTGTTAACAGCTTTCAGATTTCACTGGTGTTTATTACCAAAGTCCTTGACATCACCCATAGAAACTTGCTTTATTGGGCCTGCTGGGGGCCAGGGAATTTTCACTTTAACCCATGATTCTAAGACAGTCAGTCCAAAAAGAAATCATTATCCTACTTTTTGTCCTGATGCCATAGACTATCAAACAAAAAATCCCGTGCCAGGCGTAGGATGCTTCCCTGTGAGCTGTCTGTCAGGGAGGTCCTGTTTCTCAAAGCAATAGAAACTATTGCCAAGAAATGGTTATCTCTTGGGTATCCACCAGAACTCAAGGAAGACCTTATTGCTGAAGACACTATGTGCTTGGATCCAGCTTACACTGACCTGGAAGCCTCATTCGTAGTATTAGAAGGTACTGTGTAGGCTGCTAGGGAAGAAAAGTTATCACTAGTCCTGCCTAGCTGTAAATCCTGTGAACTACAATAACAAGCCACCTGGAAAGACATGCCCATGGGCGCAATACTGACATGAACTGGGAGAAAACTCCGAGAAAACAAGACAAGAGCTTTGTGACCTTAGTTTCCTCAAAAACATGGAATTGTTCCTGGAATGTACTTTCATGCCCCTCCCAGAAGTATCATATAGGAGCGAGTTCACTTTATTCATTACAACTGGCCGTTGTTACTTGTTTACATGCCTCTATGAAAAAACATGTTTTGCCACATGCGGCTTGTCCACCATGTGTGGCTTGCCCTTGTGACTGGACACTTTACTCACGTGACGATTAATCCTCAGAGTAAATTGTCTGATGCTCTAAATAAAGTTGACTATAGTGTGACTCCACCTTATTTTTAGGCTCTACTGTCCTGGGTTCACACCACCAACTAGAGTGATAAACAATGAACATTATGAGGTTTACTGTTTCCTAAAGGGGTATAAGGTCTATCTCACAGGATATAGCTCATGCCTGGTTCTGTAAACATCACCAAGAACCCACGGCTGGTGAGGCCATAGGTCCTCAGGGAGAATGTTACTATTATTTTGCTAAATGGACAGTATGAGACAGCTTTCTAAATGCTAATCTGTTGACCCATAGATCGGCACAGCTCTCAGCCCTCAACACAGAGGCTTCTTTTCACTGTGGACAGCAAGTAATTCAGAGACTCACAGCTGTACAGAGTGCAGAGAACTAGTAACTGTGGAGTGCTCAGATATAAATGGGACATCTTTTTTCACACACCATCCCAACATGGTTCAGAGAACATTGCAGAAGATGGGGTAAAAAGAATGTGAGAGCTATAGACTGTGGGAAATGCTGCAGAGCAGTGTCTTCTGAACGTGACAGAGCCATTGTGCTCATGGACTCCCAGAAGCAGTGGATGTCTGTGTAAGAGAGGTACAAAATCAAGCCGCTCACCACCACAGCATAGATAGGAAACAGGTGGTTACAAAGCAACCAAGTCCCCACCTGAGGAGCCTTGATAGCTAAAGACTACTGGGTCAGGGAGAACCTGTCTCCTTCAGGGACGTGTCCATGCTTCCGTAGACAGCCCTACACCCAACAACCATGGCCAGTGCCGACTGGACTCAATGGGGTGTAGAAAAGGACATAAAGTTAAGAGGGGGTTATGGTATTAGATTTGGAAAGAGTTGGATGGGAAGTGGTGAGTTGATATGATTGAATACAGTGTGTGTGTGTGTGTGTGTGTGTATAAATTTATTATTCAAACTACCACATTCTCCCACAGAAACACTGAGCAAGGCACATCATCTCTTACATGAAACATTAAACACACATAGTTTCTCACAATGTCCTGTCTGCCAGCCCTGACATCTTAAGAATCTAATAAAAAATAAAATAAAATAAACTCAGCTCAGTGGCTTCATATATCAATTTTACCTGAACTTAATATTTTAAGACAGTGAACGTGTTCTTGGATGTACAAGACTTCAAGCTACAATCTGCCATCCTCCCTTGAATGTATTATGCATTGGAGTTTTTGCTGTTGGAAGGCAGCGGTGTGTGGGGTGTGTGTGTGTAGAAAAGTGGATACCTAAAGGAATGGGTTGAATTGTATTCCCTCAAAGTTCACATTGAAACTCTAACCTCAGGACCCGAGACTGCCACTTTTCGAGAGACAGGATGACCGTGGGTGTAATTGGGTAAGAGGAGAATCTCTAGAGTGGGGTCTAATCCAATTAATTGGCACCTTTGTAAAGAGGAAGCATTTGGACAGGCAGGCCAAGTGTAAACACGGGGAGGGCAGCGCCCACAACTCAGGAAGGGGGCCACAGGGAGTATGTCTTTCCCTCATGCTCCAAGAAGATTCCACACTGTAGGTCTTGACTCTGGACTTGTTAAAAATGAGGGAGAATGAGGTTTCCACTCAGCCACCCAGTTCTTGCAACTTAGCAAACAAATATACTGAAATGAAATTGGCCTGGATTTGAGATACTCTCCTATGTGGCTCAGACTTCTCTCTGTGGCTAACTGCTTATGGAGTTAGTATTCCATCAAATGTATTTCTGTAACCCTGGCCACTGGGTCCTTCAAACACAAACTGTGACTCTGGTAAGCCAGGCTCTTCCTGGACAAGGATAAAGCTCATGATTTGTATCCACAGCAGCATTCGGACATGTTAGCAGACAGAATTGAATACAGAATAACCTGTTTAAAGATGGTGGGGGTATGTACTTTATAAAAGAGACACAATGGCAGAGACTGGGGTTGTGGGCAGTGTCGTGGTGGCCGTTCTGCTGGAGCGGTAGTGAAAGGACTCTTGGGGAGCATCCCAGAGCAGCACCGCAGGAATCAGATTGGTCAGAAATCATTGTTTGCGACACCAGACATGTCTTCTATGTCGTCTCAAAGTTCCTTCTACCCCCTTCACAGAGATGCCTTTCATGGTACAACACTGGTCCCGGGCTGGCAAATCTCAGTGCCAAGCTCAGACGCAGACAGTTTCAGAGGAAGTGTTCTGATGGGAGCAGGGGTCAAGAAAGCAGGGGATTGGGTTGTAAATTTAAAAATGAAAGAATGCTATCACCAGCGAAGTAGCCCATGTGAAGAGCTTCGAAGAGGAAAGAGGAAAGCCTATGGCCCCTGGCTTCCCAAGGCCTAGGCAAAAGAAAGCAACAATATCAGTGTGACAATTAAACATAATAATTACATGTTTTTAAATTGTAATGTGAGGGGTTGAACAGAGTGAAGGCCACTTACATATTCAACAGAGGTGTGAAAAGAAATGTCAGCCTGGGAAGAAAAATAATTTGTCTCATAAAGAAGGAAGAGATGGGAAACACAGAAAACATCTGCCCTGCCTCACAGCCTTGCAGCAGGCACAGGCTTTCCACACCTCCAGATGTGGCCTGGGAGTG